ATCTCTATCCCCAAATCCCCCCTCAACACACAAAAATGAATAAATATTCCACTCTTCATATCGAGGGGTCTGAAAGTTTATGAATTTTCTAATTTTTTTTGGTGATTTACGTAGAATTATTTGATTTTAAAATTTATATGGTGGAGGTGTGAAGGTGTAACGGTAATTTGTTGGGAGTGGATTGGATGGGATTGATGTTGTGTGGTGTTGGGGTGTAGATGAATGAATGAAGGAGGAGATTGATTTACGGGTTTTGGGGTTTTGAGGTTCCAGGGTAGGGAGTTTGAGGAGATTGAGGAGGTTGGAGAAGTTGGAGAAGTTGAAAAAAATTAAAGGATCCAGATTTACATAAAGATTTGAAAGAATTTTAATAGACATAATACTCTATAAACTATGCATTTTTGTAGTGGGCGAGTATTGAGAATATAATTACAAGAGAGTTATAGAATAATAAAAAATATATATGTAAATATAAATATAAATAAAACACAAATAAATAAAAGATAAAAGAGAAAAAGAAGAGTAAAAATATAATCTTAAAATAACAATAATAATTTAATATATTCACCGGGTATATAGATGAATCCTCTTCTTAAAAAAAGAAATATTCCGATTTTTCGTACAGAATTTGGGGTACCGGTTCTATTGTTTTTGAGATGATTGTAAAAGTTACTAAAAGAATTTTGTTTTTTGGGGTATTTTGAAATGGCGAAGTGTTTTGATGTGATTGTGTCCTTTTTGTTAAGTAGGCGGAAGAAGAAGGTTTTAGATTTTAATGCATATAGCTAGATAGATATCAAGAATCTTCTTGATATCTAGCTGGTTGAGATGCTGTAGATGTTTCGGATAATATTGACTATAGATATGAATATTTATAATATCAATATTAATAATGTCGTTGTTATTAAAACCCATCTCCTGACTATCTTCTAATTTTCGTATTGTAGTCGCGTAGTTGAATATCAATTAGCCACAGACCCATCATGTACTCACAAAATTACATCGATCTTAAGATCTGGAACTCTCTAACTATTTTATGGATGAAAGGCGAGCTAGTTATATGATAAATAGAACTCTTATACGCAAATATATAGTGAATAATAAGATACCGCATCAAAAAATCAAAAGCTAATTGTGAATCATAAAATCCTGTATTATAAAATAAACCTATTGAGGAAGGTGAAATTACATATTTTGAATAAGGAATATCAATACTTATTACTTATTACAAAGCGAGGTGGGTGATTATAAATTTGTAGCTTAGCTCACTATGGTGCACCTACTAAGATGGAAGAAATAGCTGAGAATGAATGAGAGTGATATGTATAATCCCAGAAGCGTATACATGACGTAGTCACGAAATTATAGGATACACCAGACAGTATTATTCAATGAATAATGAATCACTACCACTTGGCTAGTGTATATTGTATGAAGTGGGGTTTGTTTGTTATGGGAAAAGTCTCAAATAAAGATAAGTAGTACGAATGTGATGCTGAATGTCTTGCCGAACAACTTTGGAAATCTGAATATTGACATTAGAGACACTGTAATTGGGATTCGTAGTACTTGTTCGCTTCTCAGTAACTTCCAAGTTACTTTTGACTTGGAGCCTGTGGGAAGGTTGCACAATGACTTTATAAAATATCAAACACTTTCAACATTCAGTAAAATACACTACTATGCAAGGAATACCACCGACCTTCATGAAATCATACCGACATTTCCTATAAACATCATCCCCTTCCACATTCCTTAGTACATCTACAAACCCACTCCCAATGAACTAAATGACCCCTCACACTCCTCACCCAAGCAGCATACAACACAGCACTCAAACCCACAGCACCTAAACTCACAAAAGCCAGCCATTTAAATTGTTCTGGTCTTGACCAAATCATCGCCATGACATTATTACCCAATTCGAAGAAAGCAACGAGAGAATATTCGCACCCGGTAAATGAGGAGCGTTGAGTAGGAGTTACGAGTGTCTGAGTTAGTTGTTGAGTAGTGAGGTCGAAGATCCAGAGACCGAGACGGGAAAAGGAGAGGGTGGTGAAGAGAAGGAGGGGGAGAAGTATGGAGTTTGTTGATGGGATGGTCCGAGGTAGTAGGGTAGGAGTAGAATTGGTGGGAATGATGGAAGATAGTGTCCAGAGGATTAATGTAACAGGTATCTAGGATGGGTTAGTATGTTAGAGTAATGATATGAAAGGATGCCTACGAGATTGATAAGTTGCCATGAAAGACCCCAAAGACCTAATCGTTCCAATCCAGTTGCAACTCTTCCCGATTCATCAATCTCATGCTCTCCTTCCAATAAAGATTCATCAGAATCATCTGATCGATATAAACGATCAAATCGACCACGTCCATGAGCCTTTGACAAATGTCGAACTCCAACAGGAGTCACAATCGTACTACTAATTTCAAATACACTCCCTATTGCTCTTGCCAATGTGATAAGATCCAACGAGAATCCCACATTCAACAAAAAAGTAATAAATGTCGCTCCATATGAAAGTGCCGAAAGATGAAGTAAAGAAAGAGATAACGAAGGAATCCATACTTTTGACGAAAAGTAATTTTGGAAATCTTCCCTATAAAATCTAACACCTCGAGCGATCTTTTCCATCAAACTCCGTACTTGAAAATCTGCAATTATTTCATCATATCTAACATCTTTCCGCATCTGTAATTGGGTATTAGATTTCCAAACCCTCCTAGCACACCAGATTTCCACACCCCAAGTGACAGCATTCATACTACCTACAAGCATCACACCAATTTTGATTCCTAATACCGAGATCAAGAAGGAGATTAATATCGGCGCGAGAAGTCTACAACTTAAATCGATTCTCCTCATGGTAGAGTTTAGATGAGTAAGATCATATCCTCTTCCTTCCGGAGCAGCAGCAACAACCACCCAATCCCTTTCCATTGATAACATATTCCCATTAGCGCTTAAACCTTCAAGAATTCCAAAACCGAGAATTAGCGCGAACATAGAAATCTTGACTGTATTTCTAACAGTCATGTTCTCTGTTGTAAGCCCAGGTGACATACCCTCATCGACATCGCTACTACTCTCTGATTCTACAACAAAAAACCACAATATAGAAGCGCAGATTACTGCAATTCTATTAATATTAATCGTAGTCAAAAGTGTCTTTAATCGATCCGGACTTTTATCAACCCATCTTCCTACACTCGAAGAGAAACAAATCGATGCTAAAGTTCTCACAATACCTCTATTAAATCAAATCAGTAAGTCTTAATCACGTGATACTTACCCCTCATCTCCCTGCGCAAAAAAAGGAAAAACATACCGTATAGAAGCAGCAAACAGAGTATCAGGCCAGGCATTTGCAGTGAAGATAATCTATTTAGAATCATTAGCATTTTTATGTTTTTCTATCGAGAAACCCCGCGTCGCATAACCTACAGCAGCAAATTCATAACTCCTCCCATTCCATGTTGATAAGAAATGACTTAGATAAAGATTCCAAGCTTGTGCTTTATTCATCTCTCTTTCCATTTCCATATTTGTATTCATATTCCTCTCCATCTCCGTGTGTGTTTCCTCCTGCGCATTGGATATTAAAGCGTCTTCTTCTTCTTCACCAAGTCCATCGTCCGAATGGGATTCATTTTGGACCTCTCCAGTTTCGATTCCATTCCTATCCATCATATCATCACGATTTAGAACAAAATCTGAATTTTTCCTCCCCATTTCCATCCCCATTTTCAACCCCTCAACTTCCCCCTCACCCTCATCCTCAAAATCCAACCTCAAAGCCTCACCTTCAGACCCTTCACCACCACCACCACCTCCATATCCCTCCCCAAGCCCGCGCATCCCCAAACCCCCTCCCAATTTCTTCAAAACTTGCTCAGCCTACCTAACGAGCGATCCAGAAAACTAGAAAACCAGAAACCAGAAATCGAAAACTGAGATATACATCAATACCTATAGCAATAAATATAAAATATCAATATAAAAGAGCGATCGATGTACAAGACAAGACAAGAGAGATCGAGACAATACGACGTGATAAATAAGGAGTAGATAAGTTTAATGAGTAAAAAGAAAGGAAAAGAGCAGATTAGATAAAGCGCAGATAAAGCCCTGTGCGGCCTTTCCCTTTTCCTTTTCCTTTCCTTTTCCTTTCCTCTAACCTAACCTTACAAGGTTCTCTAAGAAAATCTAAGAATATAAAATTACAAAAATACAAAATTGAGAATCGTGAATCGTGAATCGTGAATTCTGGTTCTGATTTTGAATGAATAAATGAATCAAATAAATAGAAATAAACAAACACTCAAGTAAATATATATGTAGACTTTTTTTTATTGAAAGATTTTAATTATTTAAATTGTTTTTCTTATTTTATCATGTTGTTTCTAATATATTTCTGTTGTACTATTCATCTCATCTCATCCCATCTCATCTCGGACAAAAGATAAAAGTTCAGGACTATTTATTTATCCTTCTACCACATCCTATCTCATTACAACTAAATATATCCCCTCAACTTCCCATCTCCCTCCTTCTCACAAAAAAAGAATCATCGACTCGACTTCTTTTGTTCTCCGACATTTCTTATCGAATTGTCGTTGTTGTCTTATCGTTGTGCGGTAAGAAAGAACAACAAGAAGATGATGAGAAAAGAAAGAAAACAAAAGATTCCATCCATCCATTATGGAACAAAACGCCCTCCATCCCAACCCCATTCCTAATTTTGAGAAGAAGAATAACAATAAATAATCATTCAGACCTTCCATCCAACCACCCGACCATCCATCCGTATTCATTAATACAAAACGCCATAGAGGAATGAAATTGAAGACCTCTCCCACAAGTAACAATTCCCATTTCAATCCAATTCCATTCCATTTCATCCCAATTCATCCCTCATATCATATCTTATCACCAACCCCGCACATTTTAAAATCTCCCCAATCTCTCTTCCATACCTCCCCAATAAACAATAGGTCTCGGTTCTAGAATCTCAAGTCCACTGCCAAAACTCCTCTTTTCTTCTTCTAGATCGACCATTGATGGTTGTCGATGCATGATGTCGTTGATGGTGTTTATAGGACTAGATGATGATGAGGAGGTGTAGGATTCTCGACCGGTGGAGTTGGAGTTTATGGAACTACCGGAGGGAGAAGAGGATCGTCGGAGTGAACCGCGAATGCTGCTGAAGGAGAATGAACGCATGTTGATTGTGTGAGGTGGTGTTTAGGTTTGTTTGTGGGAGTGTAAGGTTGAAGGTAGTGTTTGTGTATGTGTATGTGTATGTGTGGTGTGTGTATGTATGTGTATATGTGTGTATGAGGATGAAGAGATACTAATCAAAGATCTCAATTCAATTGAAGAATGATATAGTTTAAAGTAATCGAGGACCAAAAATCCCAATAACGAAAGTTGATAGTTGGTAGATTCCAAATGATACAAAGCGATGAAGCAATAAATGAAAGCAAATCCAACGAGTGATAGATATATCTTCGGCACAGCCTTAAGATATGATAAATGAACGAATTGGGCAAGGTACAACGAGTGACGAGTCTGTTGAATCTAAGCAGGGAGTGAGCAAGTTAAGTGGGAACAAACAACGATCGAGACCTCTCACTAAGAAAATTGGAAGAATGATTTGATGCAGAGACCCAAAGAGGACACGACGACGTGGAACGCTGGAATGGCAGATGCGCACCCTTCTTAAATGGCGAAAGTGGTTTCTGATACACGCATATGGAACTCTCCACTATTTTCTTATGCGTGCATAACCCACTTTGGAAAAGAAATGCTGAGATTGATTGAGAAATGCTGGGATGATGATACTTTTGATGCTGATAATGCTTGAAAGAGGGGATTCAAGCTAGGTTTTGATTTTCTTTTTTGTTTTCTCCACAGTTGCACTCACTCGCTGGGTTGATGTGTATGAAAGGTTGAAATCCTGGAACATCAGAACATCAGAACAACCTTGTGGAACTGAGACTTTTCCTTATCTGGAGAGAGTACATACAGGAAGAAGGAGTACCTGGAAATATCTAGAAATAGAATTGAGAGATTGTATTGGATATCTTGGAGAAGAGGGGAAGTAGTGAAGCAGTGAAGCAGTGAAGCAGGGGAAGAGGAACAAGGGATTTATTAGTAAGGGTTTTGTGTAATGCAAATATATGAATGAAGGAATGCAATAATTAATGAATTTGTCATGGAAGTAATAATGTATTCATATAGATTAGATTTCAAATACAATACAATGACAAAAGTCTAGATGTAGGTGTATTTAATTAATCCATATCCAAATGTAAAATATCTTATTGTTTCTTCAAAAGTCCTCTGTACGGAGTAGATACAAAATCATCTTACAAAACTTGTCTGAAGAGGTCAAACATCAAGAGACCAAGAATGTTTCTTCCTCCTTCGGATAACATGGAAGGGACCGGTAAGCTTAATCTGTACTTCCGAAGTAGCTGCAGAGAACAATTGAAGAAGATGATTGGATATTTTGTAACTGAGGGAGAATAATTCGATTAGGATAATTCAATATTATTGATTTTATTCTCTGTAAGGTACCCGTAATTGAAAAAAAGTCGTGATCAATGGACAAGCATTAAAAGATGAATCCCCTGTATAAACTAGTATGACGGATGATGCAAAGGGTGATGAAATGTGAAATGATGAATGATGGTACGCTCTGATGCTGATGAAACCAATTATTATGAAACCTTTTGCCACCGGCGAATAAGCTTGATATGGATAACCTCAAACCTTTATGAATTGTGAAGTATTGTATGTAGGAATATTGTATGCGATAATGTATGTAGGGTTATGATTATTGTTATTGTTATTGTTATTGTAATTACTAGGTACTATCATCGAATTCCATACATCACCGAATATATACATACCTACTACATACATCCCTTATGTAAGGTTATCATAATATATGAATGAATACTTGTACAACTCCCCAACATCATCAAGATTCGTGGAAGAAAAACGGACACTCCGAAGTATCACATCACGGTGTACCTACCAGGTAATAATAAATTACATTATTTGTATCAACCCAAAAAGATAACACGTCAAACTGCATTCTGCAGCATCTGTGCATCGATAAAAGATCTAGAAGGTCTGAGTTTTCCATCACTGACCCACCACCAGACATTCTTTTTCAAGTTTACCCGTCGATACCGGTTACTGCGAGTTTACCGTTATGTAGGTAGGTATAGTCAGACAATCAGGAATGAATCCATCACGAGTATCACAGTATGTACGGAGTATGTACGAAGTATGTAACCTTATGGAGTACAAAACACCTACAGAGTACTTCAAAATATTCCAGACCTTTTCCATCCCACCCATTGACCAATCTACAGAGATATTGTACAACCCATCTATAACCAACACACCAGTAATACCAACCACCCCAGAGCCCAAAGATTCTCGCCCGTTATTGTTTCTCCATCATCATACATACATATATACTAGGTATCTTTACTATAAAGTACTTTACTCCGTACCTATCTACCTACCTACCTAGTACCTAATCATCAACCCAACTACCCACCCACCCACCTAGCCAACTGCAATGCATAAACACTTCACTACCTCCGTATGGAGTACTCAGTGCTCACCATCCCATTTTCCACTTTATAAGGATCACGAGGTTTCAGCATTTGAGTCCTCTGTATGTATGTGTATGAGACCGAGTACAATATTTTATTCCTGTGACTGATTATCTAATAAATGTATGAATGTATGATTGTCTGAAAGAATTCTTGAAAGGATTATTACCGATGATCATAATTGTATCATATCAACTCGGTGTACTTTCTACTTTCTACTTTCTCAAACAATATTAATTCCCTGTAACTTCAAAACTTGCTCATTCATACCTACTCTGTTTCTTTTTGGTCATTCGTTTATTCATTCATCAATATCACCACTAACAAGTTCCAACACCACTAAATCCTAACACCACCAAGTTCCAACACACACCACTAATACCCATATATATAACCTTACATAGATAACCTTAATCATCACATCAATCAATCAGTACCTCCTACCTCCCTGACCTACATGAGATCAATACATCAAACCAAACCAAACCAAACCTTATCTCCCCGAACCCCAAGTCCTTCCCATCATCATCATCATACCATACCATATATATATACCATGTACACTCCGTCCTCCATACTCCGTACTCAAACGAAGATCCCCCTCTCCTCTCGCCTTCCCTCCCCTCGCCAAGGATTCCCCCAACATATCAATCCTACCTACCATACTCCGTTCCGTAACCTTACTACAATACTGATAAGATCCTAAAACACAAACACAAACACAAACCCGATCTTTGACCTCCTGGCCTCCTGGCCTCCTGACCTCCCGTCTTGACCTCCCATCTTGATCTCCCATCTTGACCTTACTCTACCCTGCCTACCTTATTACCTGCACCTTTACCAACCTTGTTCATGGGGTCTATGATTTATGTATTTTATGCACTTATGATTTTTTGTGTCACCTAAATAATTATTAAGGTTAAGTGTGTGTTAGGATTTTATATAAATAATTATTAATTACTCTATACTCTTTATAATAAATCAATATATAGAGTAATTATTATACTCTGTAATTTTATAATTTATACTTTCTTGTTACGAGATGTGCCGTCTAGATCACGTGGAAGTGCTCTAGGCTCTCGAGGTGAGTTTATAACTAGAGCGTCAAGCAGAGACTTAAGTAATGACAATGATGCAATTCGTAACTAATAGTAGAGTATACTAAATGATTGATCTTGATCTTGAGCACGAAGCTCTATACAAAGGAAATCCGTCTAGATTATATAGACCTTCATGCTTCGTGGCTCGAAGGGAGCAAGAGGATCGAGCTTCGATCCTTTCGCTCTCCTCGATCGAAGGGTTCGAGAGGCCAAGCCTTCGAGCTCTTCGAGTCCTCGCATCACGTGTTATTACTAATCCCGTGACCTAATTGTTACCTGTCGTAACACCATACTCCAGAAACTCAAAACTCAAAACTCCCATCCATACTCCTTCCCTTGTATCTCCTTCCATCCTTCTCTACCCTTCCCATCTATCCTCTCCTTTCCCATCCCAACCTCCAACCTCCAACCTCCAACTCCTATTCTCCCTCCTAAAATATCAAAAAATCCTCTACCTCATCTCATCTTACCTTATCTTAATAAAAATACCTACATTTATATATTCCATCCTTACTCATCCTCATCCTCATCCCCCCCTCTTTCCTCTTAAAAAAGTAGACAAAAAAAAATCTAAAAATAAAAATAAAAAACTAAAACGACCTCTATGCCATGGATAATTAAAATCTACATTTATATATATATAATATAAA